TGGGGCGGTGGGCGGACACCCAAGGAATCATGTCCCCATGTTCTGCGTCCCCCTTTTCCTCGTCGACCATCTCTGTCTCCTGCACCTCTACCTGCGCATCGGCGCCTTTTCCTCCTTCTCCTCCTCTTCCTCCTCCTCCTGCTCCTCTTCCTGCTTCCCCGCGTTCGCCGTCGCTCGCCCGTCGCCGCCCGTCCGAACCCGGGCTCGCCTGGCGGCCCCACGCTCGCCGCCCCGTGGCCGTCCATCGCCGCCGCCCCGTTCCAGCCACCCCCCCATCGATTGGAATCCAAGTGCTCGCAATCCAATCGATGACAGCCCAATCGATTGCAATCCATGGCCCCCTCGCGAAGGTCCTGGGCGACCCCTGAACGGGCAAACGCGGCCCCAAAAGGCTGCAGGGGCGCCCCAGGAGGCCGCAGAGACCCCCAGACGCCTTGAAGACCCTCGGGAGGAGCCCCGAGACCGTTCCCCAGAGGGCTCCGACAGGCCCCAAGCCAGCCCAAGAGTGACCCAAGACGGTTCCACGAGGGGCCTAGAGTGAGGTCACTCCCAGGAGGGCTCCAGAATCCAGCAAAAGGCACCCAGAGGGTTCCAAGAGGCCCCCAGGAAGCCCAGAAGACGCTCCAAGACACTTTCAGAGAAACGCCCCGAAAGGCTCCAAGCGCACTGCAAGCACGCTCTGCGGATGTGGACCAGGCGCCGTGTCGCCCTAGAGCATCGGCGCTCCTTCTGAGCGCGTTCCGGCAATATGATTCTGGAACGTGCTGCGCGAGGAGATATCATTGAGAGAGGAGGAGAAGGGAGGGGGCAAGAGGCAGAGCTGGAGGACGAGAGGAAGAGGAGGAAGAGGAGGAAGAGGAGGAGGAGGAGGAGGAGGAGGAGGGGAAAGGGAGGAGGAGGAGGAGGAGGAGGAGGAGAGCAAGGGAGGAGGGGGAGGAGGAGAGGAGGAGGAGGAGGAGGAGGAGGAGGAGGAAGGAGGAGGAATAGGAGGACGACGAGGGCACATCAACAGCAACATGAGCAGAAGGAGGAGGACGACGACGATGAGGAGGGGAACCTCAGTGCTTCTGACGAGCATGTTCTGGCCAGACTCCCAGACCGGTCTGGACGAGAAGGCACACGCTGAGACTCGAGAAGACGACAAACTGAGACCAGAGAACAAAGGGAGAGCAGGAGGAGGGGTAGGAAGAGGAGGAGGAGGCCGCAGTGCCAGCAACATGAGGAGGATGACGAAGAGAAGGAGGAGGAGGGGAACCTCACTGCATCTGCGGAGCGCGCTCCTGCAAGACTCTACCGGAACGCGCTGGCCGAGGAGGAAACATACTGAAACTGGAGGAGAAGTGAGGTGCGAGGAGGCATAGTTGGAGGGAGGGAGTAGGAAGAGGAGGAAGCGGAGGAGAAGGAGAAGGAGGAGAATGAGGGGCAAGAGGAGGAGGACGAGGAGGCGCAGCGGCAGCAACAAGCTGAGGAGAAGGACCAGGAGGAGGGGAGCCTCGGTGTTCCTGTCGAGCGCGTTCCGGCAATACTCTCCCGGAACGCGCTGGATGAGGAGGAACGCGCGGAGAACGGAGGAGACGGGAGGGGGGAATCGAGTAGATCGAGGAGGAGGAGGCAGAGAAGAGGCAGCACAGCATGAGGACGATGTGGAGTTGGAAGACGTGGGAAGGACGGGGACTATGATGATAACGAGTACGCGGAGGAAGAGGAGGAGCAGGAGGGAGAGGAAAAAGGGGAAAGAGGCGCTGCATGCGGAGCCGTTGGGGATTCGAGCGCTGAGTGCTGAGGCGTCGCAAAGACCTGGTCAGCACGCCCAAAGTCGCCCCCAAGATGACCCCGAAACAGCTGGGCAAAGCGCCAAGGCGGCACAGACGGCCCAAGAAGCCCCCAGACGGCCCGAAGAACGGCTCCCGAAAGGGAACGCGGACCGAAACACTGAGACTTCCACCCCGAAAAGGTCCCAGCATACCCCACGAATCACATAAATGGGCTCCAAGAGACTTCAATATGCCCTCCCGTTTCCTGTGGTCTGACTATGTCACCTGTTTAGCCAGCGCGTTCAAGACGAGTCTTCCCGGAACGCGTTTTCCTCCTCTTCGTCCTCGGTTTCCTGAGATTCCTGCTGCCGCGCCCTGCTACTGCTGCTACGTTCTCAGCGTCCTCCTCCTGTAGCCCCTCCTCCTTGTCCTCCTCCTCGTCCTCCTCCTCCTCCTCCTCCACCGCTGCGACCTCGGAGGCCCGAGGCACCGAAACCCTGCAGAAACACAGGAAAAATGAGAGCCTGCAGTCGTTCCTGGAGCCGTCTTGGAGCCCTCTTGGGCTGCCCTGAAGCCTGTTGGAGCCCTCTGCGGAATGGTCGTGGAGCCCGCGCCGAGGATCTGGAAAATGTCTGGGACCATCGCGGCGGCCTCCGAGGCCCGGGACGCCGAAACCATGTAAAAACACATGGAAAATGAGCCCCGGTACTCCCATGGAGGGTCGAGGCAGCCTTTTTCGGGCCCTG